AGAGCGACCACAGTGAAAGCTCAGGCCCTGGACTGCAGGGGCGGAGCAAACACAGTAAAGCTCAGGCCCTTGACTGTAGGGGTTGAGCGAGCAAACAGTTCAGAGCCCAGGCCCTAGATCAGGGCAGGGGCAAACACAGTTAAGCTCAGGCCCTTGTTTGCAGGGAGCTGAGTCAGCAAGCAGTTCAGAAGCCCAGACCCTGGATCAGGGCGGGGCAAACACAGGTAAGCTCAGGCCCTTGTTTGCAGGGAGCTGAGCGAGCAAATAGTTCAAAGCCCAGGCCCTGTTACTGCCGCTGCTGGTCAGTGGGGTATCCAGACCGCAACACACTGACATAGGCTCACACTCGGTTGCAGCCGGACCGGGGTCGGCTACCCCCGGGCTACTTCCACAATCCCCCTCAAAGCCTACCTCGTTCGTCACGCCGGGCTCGGGCCAGTCCATCTGCATAGGCTCCTCTCTGCCAGGGCTCGGTGGCAGGTCCAGTAGCTCGGCCGGGAAGTCAGGGCAACGGTCCTCAGGCGGCTCCTCTGGGTAGCAGCAGGGGCGGAGGGGTTCGGGTGCAGTCTCACCCTCAGGGTTGGTGGGGTGGGGTTCCCAGGGATTCTCCCAGTGACGGGATTGGACGGGCTCCGGTGGCTCCGCCTCGTAGCGTGCCCTGGGTAACTCGGGCCAGCTAGGGTCCAGGCCTCGGTCTTCGGCGGCCTCCTGGCCGGAAACTCCCAGCCACACATCTACTCCCTGTGGTGGCTGGCCACCAACTGAGCTCTGGCGGCCGGCCTTTATACTTCCTGTCCCGCCCCTTGACTTCCGGGGGGGCGGGGACAGGCGGTGGTGGTGCCTGCACGTGGGCTCCCTCTTCTGGGCAGGAGGGGAGCCACACCGACTCACTACATGGCTATTTGCCAGGGCTTCCAGCCGCTAATGTACCTAGAGCTAGCTGTGGCTGCCACCCCAATAGAGAGCAGGAGGAAACCCCACAGACTCTGCTCTCTCCCACTTCCTTGCTGCCTTTGAAAAGGAGGCTGCTGCACGGGCTGCATCACAGCCCTTAAGAGTGCACTGCAGGAAGTCAGGCCAGATGGGGACCGTTTCCCTGCAAATTGGGCAGCTTCTGCTTTCCTTCATCTTGATGAGATGTTAGAAATGAATAGAGCCTGGGAGTTACGTTAGTGGGGTGAGCACAGGAACGGCCACAGCCTAACCTCAGCATTGGTACCGACTTCCTGTTGGGCCTTGGGCGAGTCACCTAAACTCTCTGCCACAGGCTTCCACATCCATCCATCAGATGCTGCCTGCTCCACCTCTCAGGGGAACCGGAGAGTTCGGTAGTGGAATAATACTGCAGCTAGCAAGGCTAGTGCAGCGAGAGGCGAGCAGGGAGCAGGCCACAGCCACAAGCCGTGTGTGCACACCAGAAGAGAAGGCAGCCCCTGGCTCCCGTTATTAGTACGGTGTTAGCCCCAAGCCTTCAAAACTACGAGCCACGTCCCCAGAAAAATTGCAAGCTTGGCTTAAAAAAAAAATCACAGGATTTTTAGATCCAGCCTGATACGTTTTAGGTGCTTTCGGGTTTAGGGGTCGCCTTTTGGGGCCTTTCAACACAACTGGGAGGGCTAGAAACTTACTTTTCTTTGAAAGGAGAAGCTGAGAGTCTCTGTGATGGGGCACTTGGCCCACACTGGGCTCTAAGGGGTTAATAGAGCCCTTGGGAGGCTTCGCAGGAGGTGGCCAATCAGAGAAGGGTTGCGAGGAGTAGCCAATCAGGCCGGGCTGGCCCATATAAGAAGGGCTGCAGAAGACAAGGCAGCTTTAGTCACTCCCTGGAGCCTGAAGAGGATTGGTTGCCTTGCAGGCTGAAAGTAGAAAGCACCTATGCTGCAGGCAAAGACCGGGGAAGCTAAAGGCAGCTCCTGGTGGACTGCAGGGATTTGCAGGCTGAGGCCCTGAGGCAAGGGCAAAGAGGCCACGGGGAAGTGGCCCAGGGAAGTCTACTGGAGTCGAAGGGGATGCTGCAAGCAGCAGCCATCTACAGGGTCCCTGGGCTGGGGCCCAGAGTAATGGGTGAGCATGGATTCTTCTTCCCGCACTCCCCGAGTCAACACAGAGGAAGTGGCTGGACTAAGGGACTGAGACATTCCCCCAGAAAGGGGCAGCACAGAGTATGGCACAGCCAGAGGGCTGGGTCACTGAAGAGGATGTTGCAGTCCTGGAAGTGATGTGGGTCCCAGAGCAGAAGTGATGGTGGTGAGACACCACCAGAAGGGGGCACCCTGGCGAGAAGAGCTAATTCCCACGACAGCTGGCAGGAGGCGCTAGAGTGGAGAGTCCCACCCTGGCTGGAGCGCTGCCAGCTTTTCTGCCGCCCTAGGCGGAGGAAGGTCCCACCCCGAAATGCCGCCCCCGACAGAGGTGGCGGAAGGTCCTGCCACCAAAATACCGCCACGGTCGCTACCCCCCAAATTATAGCGCCCTAGACGACCACCTAGGTCACCTGATGGGTTGCGCCGGCGCTGTCACACTCTCATCGTGTCATGACCTCACGGGCTGAGGCTTCAAGAACACGGCCAAATATTGCACGTGTAACCCGCAGCCTTCTCTAGAAGTGATGGAGCATGTACAGCTGGATTCTTAGCAGCAGCTCCTCGGTTTAGAGCTGGAGGCCACAAGTTCAATTCCTGCTGCTGACCCCCTCCCAAGGGGCCTGGCATGACATGGGACTCGTGATGAAAGCGTGGGAGTTCGGCAAGGCACAGAGTACAGATGCTTCCTGCCCTGAAGAGCTTCCGGCCTAACAGAGACAGCGGTGCAGGAGAGGGAATCACACTATGATTAACGAGAGGGGATGGGGAGGAGCATGAGGCAGCGGGATTAGGCAGGTGCTCCCTCCATGGGAGGCAGGGGCGAGCAAAGGTTGGGGTGTTCACTCCCAAAATGGGAAGGCCGTGTGGGCTCAGCTAATTTAAAGGGTCACCATGTACCCCGGTGTCACCAATAATGCCTCTGACACAATGAGTGCTCTGCCCAAAAGGTTTTTTGGCAATCCTGTGGGTCAAGTCTGCCTCAGTTTCCCCCCGCTTGTTGTCCTAGTCTGTCCCCCAGCCCTGTTGTGTGTGTGTGGGGGGGGGGGGGGGCTCTTTCACAGCAACAGGGGAAAGAAAAACACCTTGAAAGACACAGGAAAATAGGCATGTACCAGCACAACAAGGGACCGGGAGAATGATTGGCAGGGGGGCACCTGACCAATCCCCTTCCTCCACGCTGAGTAGATTGTAAATGGCTGGTGGTGCCTTTCTTATAACCAAGAGTTGACTGCAGTTCAGATCAGGGTCTGAGACAGCCATCAAGCCGTGGGATGACACAGCATCAACCGCTCCCAAGCCCAGACACCAAGCTAGGGGAGAGGGTGCAGGTGCACAGGGCTGGCTGTTGTCCCCCCTCCGGCCCCACTGAAAGAGGTCATTAAAGATCAGTTGGGGCTGCCTGGTCTGTGCTGTGGAGCTCCCTCAGGGCTGAGTGTGCCGCTAGGCCTGGCTCCTGCGTCTCCTCCACGTGTTGGCGTGCAGAGGAGCGGGGCCATTTGGGGAGCAGGGGGGGATCCTGGCAGGCCGAGGGGGGAGATTGCCCATGGGCGTCACCGCGGAAGGGGAT